CATCCACAATTTTGGTTCCTGTGGCGTGGAAGAAAACTATAAAAACTATATACCTGAAGCTAATATATATACATATATATATATATATATATATACATACAATGTCAACCGGTATTTGAGGGATATGCAATGATTTCTAGCTCTAGGTATTAATTTTGCCTTCTGCAGTGATCTGCTTCAGGTTTTGATGAGGCTAGTCATGTGCATCTGAGTGTTACTAATGAACTAGCCAGTTATTTAATTTACCACATAAATCCCAGCAGGAATTTCTCCTTAAATGCCTGCAACTGTCTCTTAGGGAAGTGCTGTCTCCATCTGTTTTCAGAGGTTTCATATTAATTCCTTAAAAACATGAACATTCTGTCACCCTAAAAGAAAAATAATTATCAGCCGGAATTAGGTTAAAAAACCCCACCTAAAGCTATGTTAAATGGGAAGTTCATTCTTCTTTGGAAATTCAGGAAGAGTGTTAATGAGGTGTTATTAATACTATATCATTTCTACTGTTGGAAGAGAAAATTTGGGCAGTTCTGTTTTGATTAAGAACATGGAAAAGATCTGCACTAGAGATTGGTAGGGAAAAAAGTGAGAGTAAAAGAGTAATCTAATAGTTAGGAGTAAAAAAAAAGAAAATAAATGAAAAAGTGATTTTTTTTTTAAACTTTTGCACCAAACCATTTTTAGTACTAATTGCCTGCACTGTATGTAAGATATTTTAAGCCACATCTATTTATGGAAATTATTACAGCCCATGCTCAGCAATTTCAGTTTTATTGTAGCCTTCACTCTCTTGCCATGGGCAGAACAGTGCACTGAGCACAGCACCCCTAAGTGTCCTTCTCCTTTCTCAAGGACTCCCCCAATGGTTTCCTGCTTTCCAGGGATTTGCAGACATTTCTATAAATTCAGGTGTCTGTTGCAATGGGATCTTCACTTTCCTTTTATACCTTTTTCCTTCTGGAATCTGACCCGTTTCATGGGAGTTGCCGCTCTCCTCTGCCAGCTGTATGAGCCCCGCTGAGCTCATCCCTGCCAGAGCCTCCTTTGACTCTCCCTTCGTGCCCTGCAGGGATTTTTCTTAGATCTCTTTGTTTTCTTTCCCAGTCAAATCAAATACTTCATGGACGTTTCTAGCACAGCCTTTCTTAACAGCTTTCAGGCTGCCTGCAGGCTTCTCGTTTCTCTGGACTGTTCCTTTTGGTGCTTTTCTTTCCTCATTTTCGTTGTTTGTTGTTTTTTTTTTTTTGAGTTTCAATACTCTCATGTTGAATGCATTTAGTCCCACAAGGTGATTAAACCTAATTATACCGTCACTTTTACAGAGCAGCTCTCACAAACAGCTTTGGAATTAGGTCCTTTGCACCTAATCCAGGAAGGCAAATGTTCTTGTGGGTGCCTGGACTAGTTGCTCTAAGAATCACCATCTTGCAGCCATAAAAACCTGATCTCTACATCTCCTGATACCACCCACAATCACCCCTCAGAACTTCTTTGCTCAGTCACCTCAAGCAAGGGAATGACCTGCAGAAGATGTGACCCCTGTGTCCACCAGGGTGGGATTATTCACTGAAAACCTTCTCTAAAGTGTTGTGAAGTATTTGCAGACAGGGTGTGTGGCAGAACACCTGGGCAGAAACGTGGCACAGCATGTGAGGGGCAGCTGGGTCTGTGTGATGTCACCTGTAGGCAGCTTACCTGGAGCACTGAGCCCAGGTTTGGGGCTCTCAATGTCAGAAGGACATGGAGCTGCTGGAGCAGGTCCAGAGGAGGCCACAGAGATGCTCCAAGGGCTGGAGCACCTCTGCTGTGGATCCAAGCTGGAAGAGCTAGGAGTGTTCACCTGGAGAAGAGAAGGCTCTGGGGAGACCTTAGAGACCCTTCCAGTGCCTAAAGGGGAGCCAGGAGAGCTGGAGAGGGACTTGGGACAAGGGATGGAGTGACAGGACAAGGGGGAATGGTCTTAAACTGCAAGAGGGAAGGTTTAGATTAGATAATAGGGGAAATTCTTGGCTATGAGGGTGGTGAGGCCCTGGCACAGGTTGCCCAGAGAAGCCTCAGTTCGCAGGTACAAAGGACTTTCAAATCAGTAGATGGAAGGAGTAATTAAAGTTTCAACAGCTTGGGCTTGGAGAGCTTGATTATTATTATTATTATTATTATTATTATTATTAATGATTTTTTCCTTTGGCTTGGTGCTGTGCAATAATGTCACTGTGCCTGGAGAAGCTGCTACATCAAAATCAACAGAGATGGATGATGAGACACCTTCCACTATCCCAGGTTGCTCCAAGCTCCATCCAACCTGGCCTTGAACACTTCCAGGGATGGGGCAGCCACAGCTTCTCTGGGCAACCTGTGCCAGGGCCCCACCACCTTCACCGGGAAGAGTTTTTCCTATTATCTAATCTAAACCTTCCCTCTGGTAGCTTAAGACCATTCCTCCTTGTCCTGTCACTCCAGGCCCTCGTCCAAAGTCCCTCTCCAGTTCTTCTGGAGGCCCTTAAGGTACTGGAAGGGGCTGTAATGTCTCACCAGAGCTACTCTTTTCCAGGATGTACCTTTGTTGGAGGCCTGAGAGGTTTTTTTTTATCAGAAGAGGTTCCTGAACACCAAAGTCCAGCAGAGAAAAGCACAGCCAAACCAGTGGCTGGAAGGCAGCCAGAGCAACTGGGAGCTGGCAGTGAAACTGGGGAGGGTGGATAGCTCTGGGAATATCTTCTGGAAGGCCTTCTGGCTTTCGCCTTTTCTGCTTGGCATTGTTACGGGGTGATAACAGCAAGACCCGTGTGGTGTGGAAATGTATTCCCGGCTTGGAATACAGCCTTTGAGCAGAAGAGGCTGAGAAAAGACAGCTGAGACACCTTGGGGTGGGTTCTTCCCAGGAATGATGATGATGGAGGGCAGGGGGATGAGATGATGAGGTTCTCACATATCTTCCGTGGGTGACAAGAAGGATCACACCACGTTGTGCCTGCATGGACCCTTGCAGCTTCTTCACTGCTGGATTTACAAGCAAGATGGTTCTTCAACATCCCACCCTCAGCTCTGGGAAAGGCTTTGGTGCCCATTAGAGGCCGAGTTGTGCTTTGCATGCAAAAAAAAATGGGTTTTCTAGGAATGGGCCATTTGGCAGCTGTGTATTTGCTACTGTGGAGGACAAGGCTCAGTGACAACCAAGGCTGAGCTTCACTTGGCTCCAGAGCCTAATTACACCCTTGGCTTTATTAAAATGCTTCGCTGGAGCTGGGCCCAACAGCTCGACATTGTTAATTAATTGAAACATGAATGTGGATGTGACGACATTAACCCACAAACCCCCAACCCAACCACCGGAGTTGAAGATGCAAACATGCCAAGTTATGGTCAAAAGCAGTGCTGGACACGGACAGAGATCCTGGGGATGCTCCCACAAGAAGGGATAACCAGGCAAGGACATCTCTGAGCGGTTTGGTGGCTCCTGTTAAGCATCAGACTCTGGGCTTTGTTCTCAGAGTTGCAAAAACAATAGTTAAAATTTAAAAAAAAAAATAAAAAACGTATGAAAGCCCCTGAACACACATACATCCAACAGCCCAGCCAATGTACAAAGCTGTGGGAGCCTCCTGCAGGATTTTGCAAAAGCAATTACAAAACCTTAGATGATATTTGGACCTAATTAAACCTCTTTTCATGGCTTTTCCTGTAGGGACCTGCTGGGGATTTATTTCCTAAAAAGCATCAGGGATGGAGGCTGCAGGGCTGGGAATTGTGATAAAAAGCAGATGAAGCACATCTCTGTACACACAAGGGCCCCTGGAGCCACCGACGGTTGGGATAGCGTTTCACAAAGGTTTTGTCTTCGGGGTAGGAGGGGGGAAAACAACCTGATTAATTTACGGGTCCGTGCACACCATGTCCCGGCTGCCACCTAGTGCTCATCCCTGCGGCACAGGGACACGGCGGGCATCGCACAGGGGGACAGCGGGGTGGGCTTGTGCTAGCGCACAAAAACCTGGGAGACACCGGGGTGGGCTTGTGCTAGCGCACAAAGACCTGGGAGACAGCGGGGTGGGCTTGTGCTAGTGCACAAAAACCTGGGAGACACCGGGGTGGGCTTGTGCTAGCGCACAAAGACCTGGGAGACACCGGGGTGGGCTTGTGCTAGCGCACAAAAACCTGGGAGACACCGGGGTGGGCTTGTGCTAGCGCACAAAAACCTGGGAGACACCGGGGTGGGCTTGTGCTAGTGCACAAAAACCTGGGAGACACCGGGGTGGGCTTGTGCTAGTGCACAAAAACCTGGGAGACACCGGGACGGGGTTGTGCCCGTGCACGAGAGCCTGGGGGACATCAGGGTGGGCTTGTGCCAGTGCACAGCAACTTGGGGGATAGCGGGATGGGCTTGTACCAGTGTGCAGTTGCCCCAGAGGTGTCGGGCTGGTGCAGCCCCCGAGGTGTGACGCAAGCACCGTGACGTCACACCGCCCGGCGGGAAAGGGCACTGGGGGAGTGACCGGGGGGGGGCAGGGTAAGGGCGGCTCCTTCTTCTTCCTCCTCCGCCTTCTCCTCCTCCTTTTCCTCCTCCTTCTCTTCCTCCTCCTCCTTCTCCTCCCCCTCTCCCCTTCCTCCCTCTCCTCCTCCTCCGCAGGATGCGCGGGGCGATCCCGCGGCTCAGCCTGGCGCTGCTGGCGGCGGAGCGCGGGGCGAGTGAGTGAGCGCGCAGGATGCGCGCAGGATGCGCGGGGCTGTGGGGAGGCTGCGCCACCCCGAAGAGGGGGGGAACGGCGGGCGGGAGGGTGGCAGCGGCCCCTCTACGGCCATCTCCGGGGTCCCGGGTCACCCCTGGAGATCGGGGAGTGGGGAATCATCCCTGCGCTCCCGCGGAGGGGGGAGATGAGCGGTTCCGCCCGCAGGCTGGGGCGTTCAGCATCCCTGCAGACCCAGCCGGTCTCTGGGGGGTTTAATATGAAAAGTTGGGGGTTTCTTCACTTTTTAAAATTTTATTTATTTATTTATGTGTTTTGGAGACTGAGGTTTTTATCAGAGCCCTTCCTGGGGCTGGGCCCCTCGGTGGCGGTGGCTGTGCCACTGCTGGCCAACAAGCCACCGGGAGCCGGCAGCTGGAGATAAGACTGGGACAAGGGCTGCGAACCCCCTCGGTGGCTGGGAGACGGAATTGTGGCGGGAATGGCTTTAAACTGAAAGAGAGTAGATTTAGATTGGATATTAGGAAGAAATTCTTCCTTGTGAGGGTGGTGAGACCCTGGCCCGGGTTGCCCAGAGAAGCTGTGGCTGCCCCATCCCTGGAAGTGTTCAAGGCCAGGTTGGATGGGGCTTGGAGCAACTTGGGATAGTGGAAGGTGTCCCACCCCTTGGCAGGGATTAGAACTGGATAGTATTTGAGGTCCCTTCTAACTTAAACTTTTTAAGAATTCTAAGACTGTAGGTGGCAGCTCTCAGTTGCTGGGTTGTGTGGCTGTGGCATCCCTCAGCACTGCTTCTCTGCCCTTCTCCAGGGCTCTGTGCCATCACCCATTACCTTGTCCATGGGCAGCTGGGCTGGTTTGGGCTGACCATGGCCTGTGTGGTGCCTGGCTATGCCGCTCAGCTCCTCAGCATCCTCTGGTTCCGGGCGGACGGACACCCACCCAGCTGCTGGCTCCTGGTGCTTCACCTCCTCCAGCTGGGCCTTTGGAAGCGGTGAGAGATGCTCCCTGTGACCCATCCAACCCCCCCAAACCCAGGTGCAGTCCCAAACTTGCCAAAACTAGGGTGGACATCCCAGCACGGTGACTCCTGCAGGTACTGGGATGTTTTGCGGATGGCAGGCGGCAGTGCCCGTGCTGGGGAGGTGCTGACACAGCTCGGGGACGTGTGTGTGCTGCAGCTCCTGGAAGCCCTGTTGCAGACCCTGCCTCACCTCCTGCTCCAGGCCTACGTGGCTGTTGACCCAGTGGGCTTCATCCCTGGTAAGGTGGGAGTTCCCAGGAGGATGCTTTGAATTGTGTAGGAACGATGCGTTTGGGTGAGGGATGCATGTGCCCACCTGGCAGGGCACGGGGTGGGCTCTGGGTGAAGGAGAAAGCTGCAAAGGGACTGGGAAGCCTCAGTGCAAAGCACCAGGGACAAATGTGGCTGCAAGATCTGCTGTGGCTGAACGCAGAGGAGTTCTGAGCCACCCATGGCTTCTCCTGGCCAGTATAGTCTGTATGAGCAGTATCCATGTGCAGTGTCTTGGCTGGATGTGAACCCAGCGTGTTCCTGTTGGTGGTCCAGCCCTAATCACACTGCAGTGCTGAGCGTTTAGGGGTTTGGGGCTGCTTTGCAGGAAAGGTGAACTTTCAGCTGTGCAAAGGGAGAATTTGAGGCGTGCGAGGTCACACTCTGTGTCCATCTCTGGTCTGATGCCAGTGACCAGGATGGAGCTGCCCTGGGGCTGCAGAGATCTACCCATGGGAGAGAGTGGTCAGAGGATTTCCACAGGCAGATGCTAAGCACACAAAGAAGACCAGATTTAGCATAAACTAATTGAAATATTCCAGTTCCATCCCTGGAAACATTCAAAGCCAGGTTGGACGGGGCTCTGAGCAACCTGATCTAGTGGAAGCTGACCCTGCTCCTTGCAGGGGGGTCAGACTAGATGGCCTTTAAGATCCCTTCCGACCCAAACCATTCTGTGACTCCATGATTCCATGATTCTGTTGGCAGGAGTATGAGGTGTCTAGCTTGTTTTGGGGTGCCATGCTACCAGCAGCTCCTTGACACTGAAATATGGCCCCACAGCGCAGCTGGGCATCCTTCAGAGCCCTGACTGCCCTGTCCCTATGCAGGTGTCAGCGCAGGGCTGTCCCTGCTCTCCCTCTCCTGGGCTTTGGCCTCCTACAGCCACTTCACCTGCCTGCTGAAGCCTGGCCACCTCAGCCTGCCGGCCGTGGCCATGCTCTGCCTGCTGCTCTGGAGGACAGGGATGCTGGGGACCAGGGTCCTGGCCCTGGTGCTCTTTGCCAGGCTCTACTCCTTTTGGGTTTTCGCTGTGGCAGGTAAGACCTGAGATCCCTCTTCCCCACATCCCACCCTGAGGTCAGCCCTGCGATGCTCCTGGTGCTGGAGCTGTTTGCAGCCTCCCCCAGGAACGGCTTTGCCCACACAGTCCCTTCTCCTTGCAGGTGTCCACTGGTTGCTCATGTCCTTCTGGCTGGTGGCCCAGCAGACAAATATTGTGGTCCAGCCGTGCCGCTGGAGGCTGTTTAATGGCCTGGTGGGGGCTGTATACATCTTCTGCTACATCAATGTCCGACCTGGTCCCTCCAAGACCAGGGTGTCTGTATTTTATGCAGTAAGTACCCAGGGTATTCCTTACTCCACATGGATGCAGCTGCTGGAGAGAAGCTTCAAACTTTCCATTCTCATTTCTCACATCACCACCTGATGAAAGTCCAGTGTGGATAAAAAGCCACATGATCACTAAGGTGGATGCACCTTCTCTTCTGGGTTCGTTTTTTTTAGGGGCAGCCATACAATGTCAGAGTTATTTTTCCTGGTAAAAAAGGGTGGACACCTTGCAGAAAGTTAAGGTCAACAACTTTTATGTTTTAAGTGGTACGTTAGGTATGAAATAAAACAGGGAAAGTATTCAAAGCCAGGTTAAACGGGGCTCTGAGCAACTTGGTCTAGTGGAAGGAGTCCCTGCCATGGCAAGGGGTTGGAACAAGATGAATTTTAAGGTCCTTTCCAACTCAAACCAGTCTGTGATTTGTGAATTTATGAAAATTAGAAATTGAGTGTTTTCTGTCATCAGAAGCACATCTAAAACCATCAGAAGGATAAAGGTGACGACTCTCTTCCCTCTGCTCTGCAGATAATGCTGATGGAGAACACGCTCCTGCTGCTGTTGGCCACCCGGTTCCTGCAGGCAGAGCTGAGGAACAGCCTGGGTGTGACTGGGGCTGTCATGTCAGGGTCTGCAATAGGTAAGATCTGGGGGTTTTAGAGCCTGGATTGCACATTTTGAGAGAAGTTTGAGTAAATGAGCATCGTCAGTTATTTTAGTTGCATCAGACTATTTGCTTTGTTTCTTTGAGCTTTCAGTTTAAGGCATTCCCCTTCGCATCACTCCAGGCCCTTGTCCAAAGTCCCTCTCCAGCTCTCTTGGAGCCCCTTTAGGCACTGGAAGGGGTTCTAAAGGTTTCCCGGAGCCTTCTCTTCTCCAGGTGAACACCCCCAGCTCTCCCAGCCTGGCTCCAGAGCAGAGGGACTCCAGCCCTTGGAGCATCTCCATGCTGACCAGGCTCATGTTTTCCCTGTGGGTTGGGAGCAAAGGGAAGCTGTAATGCCCACGTGTGCTGGGCTTTGTGCATCTCCCCAGACTGGTTGCACGCAGATCAGTTGTGATCAAGAAAGGGCATGTTTGGGCTGGAAAAGTAGCAATCCCTCTGCCCTTGGATGAGTTTAAGATAGGACTAGGAAGGAACCTGATGTCTGTACCAGTAGAAAGCACCTGATGTCCAGCACCTTTTCTGCAAAGGGCTTGGTGATCTAGAGGTGGCAGTGAGGTCTGGCCTCTTCTCCACATCTTACCCAAATGCTGCTGGGACTCATCCCTTGACACCCTTCTGCTCTTTTCCAGGTGCCACAGCTCTGGTGGTTTATTACAGCCTGCTCCATCCCAAGTCCACAGAGATCTGGCAGGGATTCCTGGAGACATCCTGCAGTGCTGCAGCAGCGGGTGATGATGAGGTCTCTGGGGAGAGCTCCCAGGCTGGGCAGAGCTCAGGAATTTCAGGAGATGAAGAGTCCTTGTCAGGGGAAGGGACCACAGCAGATCCAAAAACTGGGAACAGCTCATCGCTCCTGCAATCCAAAGGGTGTTTGGAGGACAGCTGGACAAACCATCACCACTGGCTGCTGGTAAAGCTGGCCTTGAAGACAGGAGATCTGTCTGTGATCAACGCAGCCTTCGGAGATGGTGGCGTGGGAGAGGTTTATCCTGGAGGATGGATGATGGGGAAACTCACCGGAGTTGAGCCTGGGGCAAACTTTTCTCTCCCCATGAGGGACATTGTTCCTCAGGAGGCTGAATCTGGTCTGACAGTGGGGAATGGAGGAAGCATCAAACCCAGCACTGGCACTGCAGGAATGGCACAGGAGGATGGAGCAGGGCAGGACCCTGTTTTTCCCCCATCCATATCCTGTCCCAGCAGCTTCTCCCCGGATTCAGCTGAGGGCTCCTCTGTGTATTTCACTGCCATTGCAGGAGGCATCACCTTGCCTGGGACAGGGACAGGCACAGGCACAACGATGTGCATGGCCCTGGTGCAAAAGGACAATGAAGCCCAGGCTTCTCCAGGATGCCTGAGAGAAGGAGGAGGAGCAGTAGGAAGAGGAGAGGGAGAGGATTTATCCTTTGGGATGGCAAGCATCAGCCCAATCCTGGTCACTTGTGCCCACAGGCACCTGCAGAGGAGCTTTTCCCTTGGCAACACAGGCAGCTGTGGGGTGGCAGGTCCCCCCAGCGAGGGCTCAGAGGGGGCAGAGGGTGCCCTCATGGAGTGGCATCACCTCTGGGACATCCACCCTTGTGGCACGCAGGGGACTGTCAGGAGGAGCAAGCTGAGGTCACCGTGCTTCACCTCCACCCCCAAGGCTGACCCTAAATGCCCACAGCAAGGACTGGGGGAACTGGGAGAGGGGACAGACCTGTCTGGGTTGCCAGGGTGACCCTGTAAAGGGCTGCACTGTCACCTTGGGGTGACTGTCTCATCAATAAGGCCTGGCAGGAGGTGGTGGGGTGAAGACTGTCCCCGTGATGCCCCTGACACTGGGCAGATGTGCTCCTCCATCACCAGGAGGACATGGTTTATCTTCTACTTGCATTTTTGGAGAACTTCAAAGGTCTTAAAAAGCCCTAAAAGTCCAGGGCTAGTTATTTTTTGACCTTATTTATGTCACAGTCCTGCCAGGCTGCCAGAGTGTGCTGCCTTTGGTATATTTGTGACAATGACTTGAACTGTGTCCTTTACCAAGTGCTTGTACAAGCTGCTGGCCTGTCCCAGTCTGGAGACCTGGCTGCTGTCTCCAGGCTGCAGCCTTGGCCAAAGCAGGTGTTTTCTCAGGATAAATAAGTGCCTAAACCAGAAAAATTATGAGTTTTATGTCCTTCCTTCAGAGCAGAGTAAGCCCTCAAGTAGTGCTTGGTTTATCTTTCCCCCACCAAGTTCATCTTGAGACCTTTACCAGCTCCATTTTTCGGGGTCATAGATCCTCTTCATGCTGTAGACCACAACCTCAGGACTCTGAATTATAGCCAAGAGCCATGTCCTGCTGCTTGTCCACTGTCCCACTTCCTCAGGTGGCCTTTTCTGCCCAGTCTCCTCCTTGCCCCCTTCCACCCAGCTTCCAGATCATAGAATCACAGAATGCTTTGGGTTGGAAGGGACCTTAAAGCTCTTCTAGGTCCAACCTCTTGCCATGGGCAGGGACATCTTCCACTAGAACAGCTTACCAGGCTATAATCCACATCTGCCTGGATGCTGCCTCCTAAATTTAGCCTCAGGCCAAATCTCAGATCTACAAAGTCCTGCCACCATCAAATCCCCAGTGCAGACAGGGTTTATTTATATCAGGAACTAAATGTGTGGCCTCAGGAATAGCCAGTGCTTCCCAACAGGCTGGCTGGGCATGGGGTTGTGCCCAGGACATGGCTGGATGTGTTAATTGGGGTGTGGTCAGCTGGATTCACCAGCAAGCTCAGGGGTGCCAGCTGAGGCACATCTGGCCACGTCCTCCAGCTGTTGTCCTGCTGTGGGCAGGACTCCAGTGGTGCCACAGGGCAGGAAAGGCAGCAGGAAGGACACAGGCATGCAATGAATTATTAAAAAAAGCTTCCATGATACATTCACTGCTCAGGGCTGACCCAGCCAGATGGTTCTCCTGGGCACTGAAAACCCAGTTGGTGCTGGTTATGGAGTGCAGCCACATTCCAATGTGATGAAGGCTCTCTGTCCCCATCCAGATCCCAGCCCTCCATGCTGTGGCTGCGCTCTGCAGGGACAAATCAGTTCCAGTGGCTTTTCCAGAGTCCTCCTCACTGTGTGCATCACACAGAAGGCAGAAGTGCCTGTGTAATGCTGGAGCATTACAAGAATTTTTATCTAGTTTGTTTTTCTACCTTTGATAATATATAATTATGCTTAAAAAACCCAAACCAGCCTTTGCTGTGTCTGTGTCTCATGTTGGGGGTGCACGTAAGCAATGTGAAATCAGGGCAAATAATATGGATTGTCTGTCCTTAAAGCCTTCCAGCCTGTGTGAGAGCCCTGTTACACCCAGGGCCCAAGTCCTGCATGCTGGGGACAGTCCCAGCAGTGAGCCACAGGTCTCCACCTACAGAAATAACCTGTATTTAATCACAGAATCACAGAATGGTTTGGGTTGGAAGGGATCTTAAAGACCATCTAGTTCCAGTCCCCTGCCATGGGCAGGGACACCTTCCACTATCTCAATTTGCTCCAAGCCCCATCAAGGGCCTTGGACACTTCCAGGGATGGGGCAGCCACAGCTTCTCTGGACAACCTGTGCCAGGGGCTCACCACCCTCACAGGGAAGAATTTCTTTCTAATATCCAATCTAAACCTCTTCAGTGAATTTTAAAGCTCTGTTTGAAGTAGGAGGACTCCAGCAGCACATCACACCTCCGGATGCCCCTCCCCACCCTTCCCATCTTTTGGGGGGGGCAGAACTGAAGATACCCAAATGACCTGGTGCACATGCAGGTTTTTCCCAATGGTGCCAGAGGGGAGAAACGCTGGGGAGGTGTTCCTCTCAAAACCTCGTTCATTTGCCACCAGAGGGAGATGCTGCTCAAGGTCCAGGCGCTGCGTGCACATCCAGTGCCTGTTATAGGAACTGCAGAACCATCCAGGTTGGGAAAGTCCTCTAAGATCGTGGAGTCCAACCGTTCCCCCAGCACACTCAAGGCCATCACTAAAATATGTGCCCAAGTGCCACATCCACATGGCTTTTAAATCCCTCCAGGGATGGGGACTGGAGGGGAGAGGGACTGAGGCTGCTGTGGCATCGCAGATGGGAGCTGGTGAGAATGAAATAGGGAGCTGTGGGATAGTGGAGGTGGCAGATACAGTGCACAGCAAGTGCCTGGAGGAATGAGACCATGGCTGTGAGAGTCTTCTTCTACCTCCCCAGGCATCAGTGGGCCATGGGGAAAGTTTGGAAACCCCTGCCAGAGTCTCACCAAGAATTCAGGGCTGGAAAGTCATCCAGATATCTGCAAATATCCCACGGTGACTTCGGATCCAAAGGTGTGTGTGCAAGGGGAGGTGCCACTGACCACACTGAATGCAGGAAGGGAACCTGTTGGTTTGGTAGAACCAGCTCCAGCTGTCAGCACCATGGTGCTGAGTCCTGATTTTGGTGGTGTATCCCTGGAGCTGTGCATATGTGCCTGGGGGGTGACAGGGTCACTCCCCACTCTGGTCTGTCTTCACATCAACCCATGGGGTGCAGAGATCCCCCAAATCCCATGTCACTGCTCTGTGTGGAGCAACATGGCCCTGGGCCAGTCCAAACCCAGGATGAGAAAGTGCAGCTGGCAGAGGGGAACCAGCTGATGAAATCTCAAAGTGCCCCAAATGCTTGAGGAGTCCCAGTCAGACCCTCTGCTCCTTCTACAGCATTTCCCATGAAGCTCTTTTTGCATGAGGCATGTTATGCTGAGCTAGACTGGGATCTGCCCAGCCTTTTGGGATGCACACACAGCCACTCACAGAAGGGCTGGAGCGAGGGGATATTTTCATCCCACTGCACTCGGACAGATTATCCAGTGCTTTTCCCTGCTCTGGAATAGAAAATTTCAGCTCATTTGCCTCCTATAACCTTTTTTTTTTCCTTTTTTTTTTTAAAGAAACCCTTTCCAGCCCAGGAGAGCTCAGTGCCACTCGTGAGAGAAGGTCTCAAGGGCAACACAGGAGCAGGGAGCAGGAACCAAGAGTGAATTTTGACAATGAAGGGAGTGACCTGTAGGTTCCCCAGGAGAACTGGCCATGCCACTCACCAGCGATCTGGAAAAAGGCAGGAACAGAGGCTATGTCCCTCAGAAATTACACAATACCCAGGTGAGTCTGGGCTTGGGGACGTGGCTGCTGGCACCATCCCCTTGGCTTGTTTTTAACAGGTCACCCTTGTCCCTCTGTCAAGGTAAAATAAAACAAAGCAGGATGGAAAGGTACAGCCAGGGCACGAGGCTGGCAGCAGCCCTGCCCTAGCCCTGCTGGGATCTCACCTTCCAGCAGCACTGTTTTCCACCTCCCTCTTGGCCTGGATTTCTGAGCACAGGTTTCGGGGTGGGAGAAAAAACATTCCCTCCAGCTCCAAGATGATGTAACCCCGCCCCTGAACTAACTCAGGAAAGATTTACCCAGAAAAACCATCTTTTCACTTCCAACAACATTGAAACACAATACTTGGACATTACTGACAATAGAATTCTTTGCCCTGGGGGTTGTTGTTATTTGTTTTTTTTCCAAGCTGAAACTTTGGATATTTTTCCCCTCCTTAATTAAATTTGGTTTGCTGCAAACCCCTTTTTGGTGCCTTTAGTGTTCCTGTAAAGGAACAGGGCCCAGGCTGCAGCTTTGTGCCCGTGGCTCCAAGGCTAAACAATACCACAGAGGGGGGGAGTGGAGGGTAAACCCAGCTAATCAGGACTTGCCTAATAGTACTGAGTGCCTAATGAGGAGCCAGGGACTGTGCTTCCTGGGCTGGATTTGGCTGGAGGAAAATGCTTTGTGGTCTCAACACCAGGTTTGAGATGGCTCAGTTCCCCCCAATGTGCTGCAGGAGAGTTTTCTCCCTCCTGTGAATCCATCTTCAATGGCCACGGGGAGGATCTGTGAGGGATCCATGGGGACCCAGGGGTGTTGGAGGAGCTGAACAAGATCCTGGAAGCAAAAGGATACAGCGATTCTTTTGCTTGAAGGGAGATCCTTAAAATCAAAGCCCTGTTTGTGCCTTAATTTTCCTAAGCAAAGCCACCGAAGGGCCCTGCCTGCTCCCCTAAGCTCCATGAGGAGCTGGGGGGTATTTTAGAGATTGGCTTCAATAAATAGCAGCGAATATTCCACTGCTCTGCTCTAGAGACCTATCTGGATTGTCTCCATCTGTGCTGCTACACCCCAGCCCCAGCCAGGGTGTGGGTTTGCGAAGGGCGTGGGGTAGGGAAGGTACCCCACACCTCAGGCCTCTCCTTGGTTAATAGGGAGGGAGATTTGGGGTTCAGTGCTGAGGCTGTGGGGTGCAGAGCTGGTGGGTAAATGGGGGAGTTGGGTGCTGGGACACAGGTTGGTGGCTGGGCGTGCACAGAGACGGGGGTGTGGGTGGGGGCCCAGATGTGCACAGTAGGTGGGTGCAGCTGTGGGAGGGTGTCTGGACATAAACAGTAGGGTTCAGGTGTGGGTGCACATCCAGACATGCACAACAGGTGGGTTCAGGCGTGGGTGCACATCCAGACATGCACAATAGGTGATTTCTGGTGTGGGTGGGTGTCCAGATGTGCCAGGTAGGTGGGTGCAGATGAGTCTGTGTGAGGATGGGAGGTGGGTGCTGAGGCCAGTGGGTGCTTCTGTCCCCTGTTGAGAGCCAGGGCGTGCATAGGGCAGCTGGGGACCAGGGCTAGGGCCTGTACCGGTGCTGTGCCAGTGCCA